TGAGACCCTGCAGCGCTGTGGGCGTTTATATCGTGGTGGGACTACCCATTGACTTCTATTGCTGTTGTTGTTGTTTATTATACCAATTATATTTGTTGTACCCTAAGCTATCTTTTACAGAAAAGTTAAACTCTCAAAATATTCTAATTTTCTTTAACCAGAGTGAGTGGCGCTTGCTCATAGCAAACCCACCATGATGCCAGGTGCTCTAGATGGTTTGCTATGCTGTTGCTAGGGAGCTGATTACTGATTGAAAAATAGAAAGCCAGCTTTCCTAATATTCATAACTTTTGCCCCAATGGATGATTAATGCAATTTTAAACAAAAGTTAAAATGCAAAATAACATTATGCAAAAGGTTGCATTCATTTTCACATATTATTTAGATTTTTATGTATTTACAGGGAGGATGGATGGATGGATGGATGGATGGACGGACGGACGGACGGACGGACGGACGGACAGATAGATAGACAGACAGACACACACACATACAGAGGAATAGATGGACATGCAGACGGGCAAAGAGACAGACAGACAGATTGATCGATGGATGTATAAACGGACAGACAGACAGACAGATTTATAGATGGATAAAAGGACAGATAGACAGACAGATTTATCGATGATAAGGCAGATAGGCACTGGCAGACATGATAGATAAACAGATGAAATAACACAGGTAGATGGATGGATGGAGAGCAAAGGGACGGACTAGATAGATAGATAGATAGATAGATAGATAGATAGATAGATAGATAGATAGATAGATAGATAGATAGATAGATAGATAGATAGATAGATAGATAGATAGATAGATAGATAGATAGATAGATAGACACACACACACACACACAGAGGAATAGATGGACATGCAGACGAGCAGACAGACAGATGGATAGATGATAAAAAGACAGATACGCAGACATGATAGATTAACAGATGAAATAACACAGGTAGATGGATGGATGGATGGATGGATGGATGGATGGATGGATGGATGGATGGAGAGCGAAGGGACGAACGATAGATAGATAGATAGATAGATAGATAGATAGATAGATAGATAGATAGATAGATAGACAGACAGACAGACAGACAGACAGACAGACAGACAGACAGACAGATAGATAGATAGATAGATAGATAGATAGATAGATAGATAGATAGATAGATAGATAGATAGATAGATAGATAGATAGACACACACACACACAGAGGAATAGATGGACATGCAGACAGACAGATGGATAGATGATAAAAAGACAGATACGCAGACATGATAGATTAACAGATGAAATAACACAGGTAGATGGATGGATGGATGGATGGATGGATGGATGGATGGATGGATGGATGGATGGATGGATGGATGGATGGAGAGCGAAGGGACGATAGATAGATAGATAGATAGATAGATAGATAGATAGATAGATAGATAGATAGATAGATAGATAGATAGATAGATAGATAGATAGATAGATAGATAGATAGATAGATAGATATCCACCTGTGCAATTCTAATTTCACTTTAATGGAATCTAAACCAGCTTGCAGGAGTCCAGTCTTAATCAGTAATCTGAGGAGAAGCTTGTTGGCAGGATCTGTCCTGAAGCAGCTTCTGTTCTGTCAAACTTCATGTGTATCAGCAAGTTTTGCTCACGACCTGGAATAGCTCAGCTTTCTGCTCCTGGCCCCTAATTTCACAGGTCACTGCTTTGGATTATTAGCCTTCCGGACAGTCCCATCTTCCCTGAACCAGCAAATCTGTTGAATTTGGATGAGAAATTAAGTGTGGAAGGGGGACACAATGATCTCAGAGAGAGAGAGAGATAGAGAGGAGCCCCCGTCATGACGACAGATGAATCTGCCAACTGCACGACACCTGCTCCTACAGCGACGGGCTGGTGGCCAATGAGAGCGAGTGGGTGGGCGCCGTGGGGGTCCAGGCTGACTCTACACATGCATATGTAAGAGTGTGTATAGTGCCTGCCGTCCCGGGCCCAGCAGGCGGTGGGTCTGTTCCTGTTCCTCATTCTGCTGCTGCACAAAAGTACTAAGCACATGCCAGGAAATAATGTAAAGGGACCGGATATTGTGGTAAAGTACCATCCCAGAGATTTTAAAGGGATTTCTATGGTATTTGTTTGATGTCCTGAACATATTTTTAGATTCCGAGAGGGTTATAATCTCTGATATTATAATCTTTACATATATCAAAACAGGAAAAAAAAATGGATTAAAAAATAGGCAGAGAAAAATGTTGAAAGTGAAGAAAGAGCTTTCCTACTACTCACTTTTTTTCCCAACGGAAGGATGAATGATTATTACAATTTTACACAAGACTGAATTTAAAATGCAAAATAACCATTTTATCTCCAATGCTACTACTCTAACTGAATTAAATATGCAATGTTATTATTAAATAGTATGTGAGACAGAGCAATACTAATGTTGCACAATGTGTTTCATTGTCAGTTTCATTGATGATACAATAAATGTTCATTCTTTTTGTCATGTTTAATATTGCGGTGTTTACATAATAGCGTACACAATATCCAAGAAAGACGGACGGACGGACAGATAGACAGACACTTTCATATATATTAGAATTATTAGATCAATCACTTGCATGTTCATTAGGGAAATAAATATGAGGAGCATGAGCGCAGTGGAGCTTGACATTTTTACAATGAAGCATTCGCTTTGCTTTCATTCAATAGGAATTGCTTCAGGGCAGGATATGTTGTCTACACACACACACACACACACACACAAACACACCACGTCGCTCAGTGCGTGTAGAAGAGGAATTCCCCAGTGTGTGTGTGTGTGTGTGTGTGTGTGTGTGAACACTGCAGCAGTTACTGACTTAAACTCTCACTCACGTCTCAATGCTGAACACACACACAAAGCAAGCCATTGCAGTCTTGCATCCTCCCTCACAGTCCTGGGACAATTTCATTTGCAATAGTGCAATCAAGCACCAAACTAAGAGAATGAAGAAATCAGAGGAGAGGAGAGGAGAGGAGAGGAGAGGAGAGGAGAGGAGAGGAGAGGAGAGGAGAGGAGAGGAGAGGAGAGGAGAGGAGAGGAGAGGAGAGTCTGCTCCATTCCCAGAATGAGGCTGACACTGATAAGTGAATGCGATTAGAATGTCAAACAGCTCCAGCACACACACACACACACACATGCACACACTGCCTCCATGTCTGCGGATCATGTGCACATCTTCAGAGCATTCAAACACTGATACACATCAGGAGGACTCATAGATGAAGCGCTTGCCCTGAGCCCCTCACCATCTCCTAACATACATGTATTGCAATGGCATGTTTTCTTGAGCACTGTAGCGATTGCATATTCAGATGCCTCGATATTTTCCTCCATGCCTCATGATGACTCATATAAATCTATAAATCAAGAGGCAAGCAGGCTCATACGACAAGCTGTATATTAGAAGAATTAGAGGCTATCTTTGGAATATCAAACCATTCTCTGAAATAAGATGTAAGCAGGCTTTACACTCCTATTTACTAATTAATATTCACGGTTTAGGGCATGAGGCAATTTAGCTGAAGCTGATGAAATATGGCAGAGTCAAGGATAACTAGGAAAATTCCAGGCTTGGACATCACAGATGTTTCCAGGTTTTCCATGACTGAAACTATTGCGGTATGCATACAATTCCTAAATTATGTCATTTTGACTCATTATTTCAGAATGCCTAGACAATTTTACACAAAACTGCATGAAAAACCCAAAAACATTTTACGAGATAATAAATGGATGTTACTTGCTGAATTAAAAATGCACGTTCATGTGACAAAACTGTATCATTCCACTGCCTGAAACGTTGTATCATTGCACATTACACTCTATTTCACATTTTTAAACAGTACTGTAAGAAATGACTTAGTGACACGCCCTCTCGACACATCAGCCAACCTGATGTCAGCAAAAATGCACGCGCAAAATAATTAACAGTCAGAGCGCGTTTCTCATTGGCTAAGAAAAGCGCGGGCCGCTCCCCTGCTCGCTCTCTCGGCTGTTTACAATCTCGTTCTGTCAGAGACGTGTATGATTTATCACAAAACCGAATAAATTCATTTTTTTTCAGGTAATAGTGTCACTTTATGCGTGGTATTGAAAATATTTTAAAAAAATCATTACAGCAAGTATTCCATTCTGAAGAACCCCTGAAAGCTCATTTTAAAGGGGAGTGGAGGAGAAGGGAACCTCCATCTGCAGAATAACAGAGGAAACCCCGCCTGAACGGAGCATCCCCGTTAGGTCCCGAGCAATAAAGTCCCGTTATCGCATCGCTGACATTTACGGCGTTTAAACCTCTATCCACAGTATCCGACACACCAGCTCATTAATATCAGATTCAACAATTAAACATTTAAAACGGTTATGAGATGAAGGTCACACAGAAAGCGTCCCGTTTCGTTTATGTAACCAAACATTTACAGCCAACGGTTTACGACAAAATAAACCAGAAGCTAAATGATGATAGTGGATCCATGTGAGAAGAACTGCTTTCATTTAAAAGCATCACACTGACAAAGAAACAAACAAGTGGCCACATAGCCTACACACCACAGGGATGCCCACATGTGAGCCCTATGCAAAACATAACCCATGTGTATCCTGCAGCAGGCTACATCTTTTATATAACCCACTGTACACATCATGACCAAACACAGCTAGAATCTACAAAGACACAAATGCATTAATAATTCTTTGAGAACTATCACACAAAAAATAACAGCAATGATGCATGTTATCCGAGCCAATAAAGAAAATGCTCTGAAATTCAAAATAAAAACAAGTTAAAGGCTTCATGTTAATAGAGTTTGCACCTGCTCTTTTACTTTTCAAGCCCAAACACAAGCATGCATCATCATCGTACTGGCATCTGAAGGATGAAAACGCATATCAAAGGATGAAAGTTCATGAGACAAGTTCGCATTTCAACCGCGTTTCGTATCGTCATACCTTGTATCCTAGTTTGCTGTGGTGTTCAGGGCAGGCGTGGCTGTGAAGCGCATGTTGCTGCTGTGTAATTCATTGAAAAGCTGCTCCGGTTGTGCCGATGTGTGTGTGTGTGTCTCTCTCTCCCTCTTTCTGCGGTTTGACTGTTGTATTTCACTCTCTCGTGCGGTGGAAATACTCTCGAGCGCTCACTCACAGCCTGGCGCGTCCTGGGTGGGGTGGGGGGTCGCGAACGCGAACGCGCAGGCAATCTAACGCGAGAACGCGCATTGTTTAATCTAAAAGGTGACTGACATGAAGAAAATAATGTCAGCTGACATGTATACTAGCAAAGTTTACTGATGTACTGAAATGTATTATACAGATAATAAGCCATCTAGCTCAAGCACTTACACATTTTTTTTTGATGTCACCATATGCATATTTTATGAAATGTTAGCCTTTATTACAGATCCGTGTGTGGTCACATGCTTACAGTTGGATATCTGTGGAATAAACTCGTCACAACAGAATGCAAGTAAGTGTATGTCGGTGGATGCTTTTCTTTAAAACATTATTTGAATCAAAATCAAATAAACAATAACAAATAAATAATTTAAATCATTTTTTTCCCTTTGTGTTCAGCAGACATGCAACATGGTTTGCAACATGATATGAGGGTGAGTAAATGATGACAGAATTGTAAATTTGGTGTCAACTATTCCTTTAAGTTGCTCTGGTAAGAAAGTATCCACAATTGTGAACTGTAAAAACATGTAAAACTAACGTTTAATCATTTAGCAAAAACCCAAATGTTCATTTTAATTGCATTAATATCATAAGTTGTAGCCTACAATAATATTAATATTCCAGTTCCCATCAAATTCTGTAAAATTATTTGAAAGCTCAATAGCTCCCTCTGCTGGCATGACAAAAAACAACAACAATTGAACATAGGCTACTGTACTAAATCTGTATTAAAACAAAATAAAAAATAAAATCATAGAAGAATGCTGCAATAAACATCGCGTCAGGCATTTTAGAGAACAAATGGTTTAAATTCTGTTAAGATTAAGATTGTATTGTTCTTTATGAATAAATTAGGCATATTGAAGAAGACTGATCGTTTTTGTGATAGAAGACTTAGTTGAAAGTGATAGTTCAGAAATCAGATCAGAAATGTCATTAATGAGATTAAGTTTTTTAGGTGCAAGTAGACAAGTAGAAAAAAGCGCAAGTCTGGATATTTGGAAAGGCCTTCAGTAGGGATTCGATTGGATACTGCCAACTGTCCTCTTACTTTCAGCCAATCAGATACGCTGGGCACGTTACGTAAGTAATATTCATAAGCCAAGCCTCACCTTGTACATTCTCTCTGTTTACCAGTAATGGAACCTTACCAAATTAATATCATAGGCCTACTTTTTCATTCCCCACCGGTATTCACGCTAGGCTATAATACCGCTTTAGTCTCATGCTAAACTACTAATACACATTGAACGAAAAAAGCCCACTGACGCTGAAATGGTTTATTCCATGTTGACATCGATACAGGCAGGCAAAGTGAAAGTAAAAGTCTTAGGAACCATTTTCTCTCAAAATAACTGCGCCACGTTGCGTGCCATAGTAGAAAAGGTGAGAATTAAAGGTGATTTATTACACAAAAGCTCGCGTTATGTTTATAGTTGGCAGATAAACACCGTAATTTGTACAATTTTGTAAACTTGTGCCAGTAAAATCGATCGCAAAAGTTGCAGTTGGTCACGTTATTGAGGTCGCGATCGTTTGATGTTCGCGGGTAAATATTTTTTCTTAACTTTAAGTAGCCTAAATCTAAACGAAGTTACGAACTACGATTTTTCTCTTATTGATGTTCTAGATTTTTTGGGATTAATATGACCCAATCGCCTCCTCTTATTTTTTTTTTTTACTTCGATAGTATGTTGCTGACTCGACCTATTTTATTCCCTTACCAAACTCGATGCTAATCAAATTAAATTTGGAACTTGTGAGATAAGACAAATAATAATCCTTTAAAAGTAAAAAAAATATATAAAAAAAATAGAATATAAACCCCGCAATGAGTAAGAACAAAAATATACACAGCAGACATAGGAAGAAACCAATCATTGTTTCTTCTTTAAAAAAAAATGTTTCGTTGTAAATGAGCGTGTGACACTCCTCCACTCTTTTATTCTTCCTCGGTGTGACTGACTTGTTTCTCACACTACAGTTGGATCATACCAAGTAAAACCTAGTTGTGGGGGAGCAACTTTTTCTGCCCTTAAAATAAGGCATAACAGGAAATGGTAGAAACTACTAATTATTAGTGCTTCTGTCCTTTCTTTCCATTCAGAGTCAGTGGAGGAGATCAGACTTAAGATGCACGAGTGCAGAACCATGAGGACAGAATGAGTAATGTACAAAAATCCAAAGATGGAGATTGTTCTCCAGGATGCAGGTACACTCAGACAACATAATATCAACCAATTTTACATTGTTAATACACTCTTCCTGATTTTATTGTGAAAGACTACAGTGAACATCCTCAAAATAGAAAAGGTTGCTTTGGCTCTGAAAAAAAAAACTTCACTTTTCATCTGATGTCACCAGGCCCTATTATTTGCTGTATTACAGTTCAGTCCAGCAGAAGAAAACAGATTCACCAGAGCCCAGCTGTGTGTCCATGAAGAGTGACTGGTCTATGGATCCTCCACCCGAAATTAAGGATGTAGACACACCGCCCAATCTAAGGTGTTAATTTTATTTTCAGTATATATTAAAAATATTGCAATGTTTTGATTTTTTTTTTTTCATGAAATTTGTATGGTGAATTGATGATACTTTTAACTTGGTTTGATGTTCTTACACTGTATTGCTCGGGTTAAAGCTTTTCTACATTTAAATTTGGTTATGCACTGTAAAAATAAAAAAATCCAACTTTCTCTTTTGTTAGTAACACTTTATTTTAAAGGTTGATTGAACTATCTAACATATAAATATGTCCTGTTCTGTTAGTTTGGCTCAGCAGAAGAAATCAGATTCACCAGAATCCATGAAGAGTGACTGGTCTATGGATCCTCCACCCGAACTCACGGTTGGAGACAGAAGGCAGAGGTACACAATTGCTTATGACCACTCATGGTCCCTCCTGGTCTTTTACTGTTATGAAACAGTAGTATGAATATATACAGTATATACAGGTCCTTCTAAAAAAAATAGCATATGGCGATAAAGTTCATTATTTTCCATAATGTAATGATAAAAATTAAACTTTCATATATTTTAGATTCATTGCACACCAACTGAAATATTTCAGGTCTTTTACTGATGATTTTGTCATACAGCTCATGAAAACCCAAAATTCCTGTCTCAAAAAATTAGCATATTTCATCCGACCAATAAAATAAGTGTTTTTAATACAAAAAAAAAAGTCAACCTTCAAATAATTATGTTCAGTTATGCACTCAATAGTCAATACTTGGTCGGGAATCCTTTTGCAGAAATGACTGCTTCAATGCGGCGTGGCATGGAGGCAATCAGCCTGTGGCACTGCTGAGGTGTTATGGAGGCCCAGGATGCTTCGATAGCGGCCTTAAGCTCATCCAGAGTGTTGGGTCTTGCGTCTCTCAACTTTCTCTTCACAATAGCCCACAGATTCTCTATGGGGTTCAGGTCAGGAGAGTTGGCAGGCCAATTGAGCACAGTAATACCATGGTCAGTAAACCATTTACCAGTGGTTTTGGCACTGTGAGCAGGTGCCAGGTCGTGCTGAAAAAGGAAATCTTCATCTCCATAAAGCTTTTCAGCAGATGGAAGCATGAAGTGTTCCAAAATCTCCTGATAGCTAGCTGCATTGACCCTGCCCTTGATAAAACACAGTGCACCAACATCAGCAGCTGACATGGCACCCCAGACCATCACTGACTGTGGGTACTTGACACTGGACTTCAGGTATTTTGGCATTTCCTTCTCCCCAGTCTTCCTCCAGACTCTGGCACCTTGATTTCCGAATGACATGCAAAACTGAGCAACAGTCCAGTGCTGCTTCTCTGTAGCCCAGGTCAGGCGCTTCTGGCGTTGTTTCTGGTTCAAAAGTGGCTTGACCTGGGGAATGCGGCACCTGTAGCCCATTTCCTGCACACGCCTGTGCACGGTGGCTCTGGATGTTTCTACTCCAGACTCAGTCCACTGGTTCCGTAGGTCCCCCAAGGTCTGGAATCGGTCCTTCTGCACAATCTTCCTCAGGGTCCGGTCACCTCTTCTCGTTGTGCAGCGTTTTTTGCCACACTTTTTCCTTCCCACAGACTTCCCACTGAGGTGCCTTGATACAGCACTCTGGGAACAGCCTATTTGTTCAGAAATTTCTTTCTGTCTTACCCTCTTGCTTGAGGGTGTCAATGATGGCCTTCTGGACAGCAGTCAGGTCGGCAGTCTTACCCATTAATGCAGTTTTGAGTAATGAAACAGGCTGGGTTTTTTAAAAAGCCTCAGGAATCTTTTGCAGGTGTTTAGAGTTAATTAGTTGATTCAGATGATTAGGTTAATAGCTCGTGTAGAGACCCTTTTCATGATATGCTAATTTTTTGAGACAGGAATTTTGGGTTTTCATGAGCTGCATGCCACAATCATCAGTATTAAAACAATAATAGACCTGAAATATTTCAGTTGGTGTGCAATGAATCTAAAATATATGAAAGTTTAATTTTTATCATTACATTATGGAAAATATTGAACTTTATCACAATATGCTAATTTTTTGAGAAGGACCTGTATATACAGGGTGCGATTTGTGGAAAAAACAGAAGGGGGGGGGGGGGGGGGGTTGGTAGGGGGATGTTTTGAAACATTTTTATTCATAAAAATAAATCATGAGAACATAAACTTCACCACTGCATTTGCAGGAATTGTAAAATATTTTTTCTTAATTACTCATGAAGTAGCCTAACACAATATTTTTACTCTAATAGCTTATCTCTCCCCACACATATGAACTTGATCATGCACAACGAAAAAATATGCTATTAATAAATGAAGGAAATATATCAGCCTCTGCTGAACACGGATTGATTGCAAAGTTAAATTGAGTTGAAACTAATTGATTGACTAGTGAGTGGTAGTCAGTGGCGGCTCCAGACAATTTTGATTGGGGGGGCAATGGGGGGTCCTGGTCATTTCAAGGGGGGTCTCATGAAAACCAACAAAAAATACAGTGCACACGGCTAATAACTGCATATTGCTGCTACTTAACAACAAAAACAACACAGCATATCAACTACTTTGTTTTTAATCAATCAATTGCAGTTTGCAAACAATATGCTACTTAACAAATGGTAAATGGTAAATGGACTGCATTTATATAGCACTTTCACAGACCCAATGGCCACCAAAGCGCTTTACATATTGCCTCACATTCACCCATTCACACACCGACGGTTTTTTGTTTTTAATTAATTAATCAATTGCAGTTTGCAAACAATATGCTCGAACTTTAATTGCCATAGCCACACCCATGACAGAAAACATATTTACAAAATAGTATCCTCCTCATCCTCCAATTCCTCGGTGTGGTGTCCTCTGTTTCCAGTCTTTACTAAGAAATCCTATGAAAAATTATTTACAAAATCTTCTGCAGGACAGTTCAATTCTTTACAATAATATAATATATTATGAAAGAAAATTAAGCTGTTACACTGAGATGGTTTAGGAAAACCATAAAGTGTTTTTGTACAGTCAATTAATTGTACAGGCAGCATTAAACCATCAAAGTTAAATGATTGTTTATAGCTTATGAATTTCCTAGCCTATATTTTTCTTTAGCAGGGGGTTTCAAACTTTTTAATGGCAATGAGCCCTAAACAATACCCTTGTGAGATTCTTTATTTAGGCTTATAATATAATAAAATATATGCCCAATATAATATAATATAAAAAAATGAATTGAAGTATTTGAAGTGATAGTTTAAATGCTTCAATTTGTTTTCATATTATATTATTATAATATGAAAACAAACTGAAGCATTTACTGTAAATAGCTAGATCTAATAGCTAAATATTTTCAAGAAAAGTCAATATGTGAACTCTTTTATAGTAGCCTAATCTAACCATGCCTGAAACTATTTAAATCTATGTAAACTAATGATGTATTTTGAGTTTGCACGCGGGTGGGTGTGTGTAATTGTTACCGTTCTGTGTCCATCATCCGTTATTTCCACCACTTTAATCAAACCACTCTTCTTTAAAACATGATATTGTGATTTTATTTCACATGTCTTTGCGTTTCTCGTCGCCTCTCGTATTGAGATAGGCTATTTGGTCCGCACACACGACTCACTGCCAATCACACGCGCTCACATCATTCTCTTTCTTTTAAACCTGTTAACTGCACTCACCAGTTTGAGCACTGCAATTATTTCTCACATACAATCAAATGAATTTCCCCACACATTTCGCGTCAGTCCTCTGCGTGGCATATTATTCTTTTCTGCGCGGCCGCGAAATCAGAAGTGCACGACCGCGCACGCGCGCAGCTTAGAGGGAACGTGATTCTTATGTTTATATATTTTGTACGTCGAATAAATTATTAATTATTATTGTTCTGCGTAGTTTGAAGATAAACATTTTTAAATATTTATCCCGGATATATATTTTTTTAATCAGGAAGGGGGTGGGGGGTCAAATGGGGGGTCAAAGCATTTTTTGGGAGGGTCTTGAGACCCCCCAAGACCCCCCCTGGCGCCGCCTCTGGTGGTAGTCAATTCGCCTCATTCGCGCGTCTACCACTCTAAACGCCTCAATCGCGCCACAGGACATCTAGACGCGCGTAAACGCATCTTTATATTGACTTAACATTGAAATCACTCGCGCCAGACGTTCAAGAGTGAGCGAGTAATCAAAAAACCTTTGCTTTAGCCTCAATTGAGTGTAACACCGTATGTGTAACTTCGGCCATTCTCAGTGGTGTGACTGGGACACTAACTCTGCTTGTCATCATAGAAACAGATAATCAGATTGTGATGTTTATTAGCATTAGCATTTTATCACCACTTGAAACTATCCTTTTTATATAGCCTATTTCTAATGTAAAAAGTCACCTTTATTTATATATCACTTTTTACAGTACAGATTGATTCAAAGCAGCTTTACAGAGATAACAGGAAAATAACGCAACAAAGTTTGTTTAGGCTGTACAGCAGATCTAGAAGAAAACATCGTCATAGTCAATGTTCAATGATGGTTCATTTCTGTTGTAAAAAAGTTATTAATTTAGTTCATTTATCTATACAGCTGCTCTGGAGAAAACACTGATATCATTGTCCAGCTCAGTTCAGTTCTCATATAATGGTGTTAATGCAGGCAGATCAAAAATATTGTTGAATATTAAGTGTAAAAACAGTTGGTAGCACAATTCACTTTCAAAGTATCTGATTATTCTGCTGTTCTACTTCATGCTGTTTAAGACGAATCCTGCGACCCGGACCAGATGTAACAGAACCCGTCTGTAAAAAAAGAAAATATGACGCGTCTATGAAAAAACCACAAGAATTTGATGAAAGCACTTATCCTGGCATCAGGTAAAATACAGTATTTTGACAAATAACAAAAATCAGTATAAACACAAGTAGGCGTTCTGCATTAGGCTATATATAATATATTATATAGAAAACAAAATAGCCTTCTCTTTTTATGGCTCTATACATGTACCTCTTGTACTTATATTCTGTTGTATTGATTTTACAGCCATCACTCGAATCATGCTGAAGTCCTCAACACATTTAGATCAAATCTGATGAAGAAGTTTGTGTGTCTGTATGAGGGAACAGCACAGCGGGGAATCCCAACACTCATGAATGAGATCTACACAGAGCTCTACATCACAGAGACTGAGAGTGGAGAGATCAGTATTGAACATGAGGTGAGACAGATTGAGACACAATCCAGGAGAGCAGCAACAGAGGACACACCGATCAAATGCAATGACATCTTTAGACCTTTACCTGGACAAGACAAACCCATCAGAACTGTGCTGACGAAGGGAGTCGCTGGCATTGGAAAAACAGTCTCTGTGCAGAAGTTCATCCTGGACTGGGCTGAAGAGAAAGAGAATCAGGACGTCCAGCTCATATTTCCTCTTCCTTTCAGAGAGATCAATCTGATGAAGGACAAAACACTCAGTCTTTCAGATCTTCTTCATGTCTTTTTTCCTGAAACAAAAGAAATGGAAATATCCAGTGACAAATATAAAGTGTTGTTCATCTTTGATGGTCTGGACGAGTGTCGTCTGTCTCTTGATTTTCAGAGCAATGTGAGGTTGTGTGATGTAAGTGAATCAGCCTCAGTGGACGAGCTGCTGACGAACCTCATTGTGGGGAATCTGCTTCCCTCTGCTCTCATCTGGATCACCTCCAGACCAGCAGCAGCCGATCTCGTCCCCTCTGAGTGTGTCCATCGAGTGACAGAGGTACGAGGCTTCAATGATCCACAGAAGGAGGAATACTTCAGGAAGAGAGTCAGTGATCAGAGTCTGGCCAATACAATCATCACACACCTGAAGTCCTCAAGGAGCCTCTACATCATGTGCCACATCCCAGTGTTCTGCTGGATCTCAGCCGCTGTTCTGGAGAAGATGTTGAGCGAAGCAGAGAGAGGAGAGATTCCCAAGACCCTCACTCAGATGTACACACACTTCCTGATCCTTCAGACCAACATCAAACATGAGAAGGACTATGAGAAGAAAGTGACAGATGAAGACATGATCCTCAAACTGGGGAAACTGGCTTTTCAGCAGCTTGAGAAAGGCAATGTGATCTTCTATGAGGAAGACCTGAGAGAGTGTGGCATTGATGTGAGAGAAGCATCAGTGTACTCAGGATTGTGCACTCAGATCTTCAGAGAGGAGTCTGGCTTGTATCAGAAGAAAGTCTTCTGCTTTGTTCATCTGAGCATTCAGGAACATCTAGCGGCTCTATATGTGCATCTCTCCTTTACAAACTTCAGCATAAATGTGTTTGACCCAAACACCAAACAGAGCTTGCGGTCTAAAGTTAAGGACTGTTTAAAACTCCATTCATCAGAAGAACATGTTTCATTATCTGAGCTGCATCAGAGAGCTGTGGATGAGGCTCTACAGAAAAATGGACATCTGGATCTTTTCCTGCGGTTTCTTCTGGGTCTGTCAGTGGACTCTCATCAGATTCTCCTACAAGGATTAATGACTCTGCCAAGAAGTAGATCTGACACCAATGAGAAAACAGTTGAGTACATCAAGGAGAAGATCAGGACCATTTGCTCTACAGAGAAATCCATCAATCTGTTCCACTGTCTGAATGAACTGGGTGATCCTTCACTAGTGGAGGAAATACAACAGTTTCTGAAATCTGGAACATTAGCTGAAGTCAAACTCTCCTGTTCTCAGTGGTCAGCTTTTGTCTTTGTCTTGTTGACATTAGAGCAAGTGATGGATGTGTTTGAGCTGAATAAATTTGTTGCAAAAGAAAATATTACAGATATAGGCCTTTGGAAACTGCTTCCTGTGATTAAAGAATCCAGATCAGTACAGTAAGTGACAGATGATCTTTTAAAACATTTTACATACAGAGTGCTGGCCCTCATGCTGGTGGATCTATGATTTTCTGTTAGTACTGACTCATGTTTTTAATGACTTGAGAGGTGAGTAGTGATGCAACCTATAACCGACAACCTGATGCCATATTTGGATATTTGAGACCACTGTGGTTTAACATTTTTAATAAAAAAAATTAAGACAGCCATGAATATTACTATTGTAATATTACTGTTGTTCTGTAAAATTTAATTCTTATTATTATTTATCAGTATCACTGATATCAAATAATAATACATGGCATCCCTAGAGAAATAATTTAAATATATAACAAAATAGTAAGTTCATACATGATATTTATAAATAATAGACGAGGAAAATTAAGGCCCTGGAACCACTGTGCAATGCTACAGGTTATCCATCAACTTAACAACTGTTGTATTCGCAGCAAGAGGCTCATTAGACTGTTTTTACTGTTACTGTGTTAAATGTATTGTTTTCAATCTCTCTACAGTTTGGATGACTGTAATATCACAGATAAAGGTTGTATCACTCTGGCTTCAGCTCTGAGATCAAACCCCTCAAACCTGCGAGATCTGGATCTGTCTGAGAATAAACTAGGAGATTCAGGTGTGAAGCATCTATCTGATGGACTTAAGGATCCTCATTGTAAACTGCAGAAACTGAAGTAAGATCTTTTTGATGTTTTTCATGACTTTCATATACAAAAAGAAAAATTAATTCTTAAGAATATTTTCTGGTTATAAAACAAATTAAATTAAAAATCCAGATTGAAAATTTGATTTAATATCATGATATTTGATATATCTGTGAAGATATTTTGAGAAAAATTAAATGTAATAAAATTATTTATAAAAACTCACCAAAGTGTTTGTCACAGTCAAGACTTGAATAATTGAATATTATGTAATGGACTGTTTTTATTTGTTGGTTATTTATTTTTATTTACTTGCTTTAATAGACTTTCATAAACTTGGCCAAATAAATCACATTTACATACACAGTGGCGCATAACTAAATAACCTAATGATATTTACAGACAGATATATTTAATAAGAACATATCAGTAAAAACTACTAAAAGAGCTTAATTTTTCTTTTGGCAGTCTGTACCATTGTGGTGTCACAGATGAAGGTTGTGTTGCTCTGGCTTTAGCTCTGAGATCAAACCCTGAACACCTGAGAGAACTGGATTTCACTGAAAATAAGATTGGAGATTTGGGACTAAAGCTCCTTTCTGATGTACTGAAAGATTCTCTCTGTGTACTAGAGAAACTGAGGTAAGATCATTATCAAGAACATTAATTTTTATTAAATGTCAGTAATATAACATTTATACACATTACCGGTATACATTATTCTGTGATAAACCGCATCACAGTAAATAAACATTTTTACAGCATAATTTGTCACTTCATGAAGTCTAAAAAAAATATACTTCAGATAAATATATTAGTAATAGGGTGTATCTTTATCTAAAGGCACTTTTGCATAGAGAACAATTGACATCTTGATTACTGTACATTTAGTCATTGTCCTCATGTTTTGGTTTTGTTCATGTCATGTTCCTTTGTCTTGTCATGTGATTCCCTGTTTGTTATGTGATCCTGCCATGTGTTCCCTTGTCTGATGTGTCATGTTGTAATTGGTTCATTGTTCACAGGTGTCCCTTGTCTTGTCATTAGTCTTGTGGTTTATTTAGCCCTCATGTTTGCCATGTGTCTTTGTCAAGTTTTGTTTCCTGTAGACCACTGTTTGTAAGTTTATGTTCCTGTCTTTCATGTTCTGAGTTTTCATAAATTAATTAAATATTTAAAAATATATAATAATGATTAGAAATAATGCACAATAAAAATACTCTTCACTGATGTTGTTTCCTTGGTAAAAAAAAGTATACTAATTAAAAAACATTATTTGAGAACCTTTAGTTGTGGTGGAAATTACACAGCTGTGTCACAGTCATAATTTACACTACCGTTCTAAAGTTGATGCATTAAATTTATCAAAAGTGAGTGTAAAGAAATGTATAATGTCACAAATTTTTATTTCAAATAAATGCTGTTCTTTTGAACTTTCTACTCATGAAAGAATCCTGGAAGAAATTTATCACAGTTTCCACAAAAAGCAGCACAACTGTTTTCAACATTGATAATAATCATAAATCTTTCTTGAGGAGTAAATCATCATATTATACTGATTTCTGAAGGATCATGTGACGCTGAAGACTGGAGTAATGATGCTGAAAATTCAGCTTTGATCACAGGAAACATCTTAACACATAATACAATAAAAAAACAGTTAATTTATATTTGAAAATAATTTTACACAATATTTGACTCTTTTTGATCAAATAAATGCAGCCTTGTTGAGAATAATACCCCCAGTTTCATAGACCAGGCTTAAAGGAGAACTCCGGCGCAAAATGAACCTTTGGTCTAATTACACATTGTTACCTAGTCAACCGTTATCTGAGATTTGTTTTCATGATTATCGAATGTAAATAGTTTTATCTCTAAAAACAGTTTAGCCTATAAAGCTAGTATAACGCTAGTATATTGGGCATGGAGTAATGACAAATAAAAATAGCTTGTTAATACCACTAACAAGGCTCAAAATAGCCCCACACTAACACGGTAGCATAATGAGGGTCCCTACCTTCAAACCGAAGCATTGAGAACTTTGTTAGTGTCCAGACAGTTTAATAAGAAGATATTTTTTACATACAGTCAACTTCGCGTATACAGGCAGAAGCCATCTTTGAAAAAGAGTCTCTACCAGTCGATCTACGAACGCCGATCCAAAGATGGCTTCTGCCTGTATACGCGAAGTTGACTGTATGTAAAAAATATCTTCTTATTAAACTGTCTGGACACTAACAAAGTTCTCAATGCTTCGGTTTGAAGGTAGGGACCCTCATTATGCTACCGTGTTAGTGTGGGGCTATTTTGAGCCTTGTTAGTGGTATTAACAAGCTATTTTTATTTGTCATTACTCCATGCCCAATATACTAGCGTTATACTAGCTTTATAGGCTAAACTGTTTTTAGAGATAAAACTATTTACATTCGATAATCATGAAAACAAATCTCAGATAACGGTTGACTAGGTAACAATGTGTAATTAGACCAAAGGTTCATTTTGCGCCGGAGTTCTCCTTTAAGCCTATAGTGCTAGACTAAAATGCATGTTTGAGCTGTTTGATTTGTCAGGGCCATTGTTTTGTCACACAAGTAATGTTTTTTAAGGCACGGTTAAAAAATAAGCTACTTAAATGCTACTTAAAAACCAGAGCCTTAGACTTTTCTATGTTAAAAACATTAAACCCTAAACTTTTGAAAGGTAGTGTATCTAAAAATGTATGTAAATAATTGTAAACAATACATTTTGAGATCATTTATATCTTTGAGATAATTGTACATAATTTAAAAAATGTAATTGTAATACAGAATGTAATACACTGTAATATCTTTTTTTATAGTTTATTATTCATATAACAAATAGTAATAATTTTTTTAATCTGCTAGTTTAAAAAAACAAAACAAAAAAAAACATGAACATAAAAGTGCCAAAGAAATACCAAATCGTACGTTTACCAGTAATAAACTATTGATTGTAAAACATGGAATTAAACATGGATTCTGTCATAGTACCTTTGTGACAGTTCTGAACTTTTCAGCACCTTTGACTTTCAGTTCTGAAAGTTTGTGACATAGTTTAAGTCTGTAGTTTTCAAAGGGTGAAAAATGTCTGTTCTCTGTAGGTTGTGTCAGTGTGGCATCACAGATGAAGGTTGCGCTGCTCTGACTTCGGCTCTGAGATCAAACCCTTCACACCTGAGAGAACTGGATCTTTCTCAGAATAAAATCAGAGACTCAGGAGTCATTGCTCTCTCTGCTGGACTGGAGGATCCTCACTGCAGATTAGAGAAACTGAAGTATAATGATCTGACTGACCTGAGATTCACTGGTGTTTATAATTAAGTTGTTGCTAAACAGTGTGTTTGTTCATTGCAGGTTGATGAATTGTTGTCTCACAGATAAAGGTTGTGCTGCTCTGACTTCGGCTCTGAGATCAAACCCCTCACACCTGAGAGAACTGGATCTGTCTCTTAATAAACTATCAACGAGTCAGAGTCTCTACTCTACAGTATTTACTGGAAAAACTGAATAATCTGCTGTGAGTCAGATCAATGTTTTTAAAAGGGACTATATGTAGAAGTCAAAACCTTGTTATTAGCTTCACCGGTGGCTGTTAATTGAACTGCAGCCACACTAGATGCAAACTAATTATGATAGCTTCCTTTGGATTTTCCCGGCATAACCGTCTCAAGTCCTTCAAATAAAAATAATTATTCAGGCTTTCATAGACAACCTCGGAAGTCAGGCAAGGTCTCGTTTTCTCATTTTGCTACAATATCCTTCTTTTGAGAGCAAAGCAATAAACAGGCTTCATATGTAAATAAATTATGCTTTAGCTGAGTATAAGTTTTTGTACTATAAATTGCATTAATATGAATTTAATTCTGCTTATTTTGATGAGGCTGGCCTGAAAGAATATCAATATTTAATTTTTAAACAGATTTTAGTTAGTTGTTGGTATTTAACAGCTTTTGGTTGAGTTCATGTTTGTAGATATTTCCTAATTTGATGTGACTCAGTAATGTCTCATACTCGTATGTGTCTGTCTGTGTGTTTTATTGTAGGACTCTCAGTGTTTAGACGTCAGTTCAGTTTCCTCAGGATCAACTGATGGTGAATAAGGAGCCGCTATAGAGACTGAAGACACAGAGACACACACCTTTCCCTCATGGAACAAAAATATATGGGAATATACTTCAAAATATAATACAATATATTACATAATACATTTCCATTAGGGATGGTAAGATTCACCAATTCGCATCGGTGCATCGGCATAAAAGCTAACGATGCGATGCATCGTTTCTAACATCTGCATCGGTAAAAAAACGATTTATTCATATATAATTATTAGTAGATGCGCTATTCTTTTACTATTTAGAAAGTGACCAATCATTTGTGACCAATATTTTATTATGTAATTCCTGCGTTCACTTCACACCGAACGCAAATTGAGCGTCTGTAGCGAGTGATTTCCATGTTAAGTGAATGTAAAGACGCGTTGACGCGGGTCTGGAGGTCCTGTCCTGCGGCGCGAGACGCGTTTAGCGCGGTGCGATGGACACGATTTTGCCTCATTCGCGCGTCCAGGTCGACTAGATTGATTTCTCCTTTCTGAACTGTTGCTCAAGTTTACTCTCTCATCACGACCATCACGTCTGCTGCAGCTGCTACGTGAATATGACGTATCACAACATTGAATTACGTATCACTGAGAGTCACCCACCTTTAAAACTTAACCCTTAAAGAGTTTCTGTATCTTGGGGGATTCAGTCATTTAACAGGCTATGGGGGGAGGGGCATTATGTGGTTGCAGTTGATGAGAAACACTGATGGGGTGATGGGTCATGTAATCAGGTCATGTGACTTTATGCTAACATTCCAAACATTTGTATCAAAATCCAAAATGGCAGCATACGTGGACAAAGACACTGGCCATGAGCTAAGTGTTTTTATATTTTGCACGATTATGATATGTAGGGTATCTGCGTTGTCCGGATGGTCAAAATGCTCCTAACCTCTCTGACTCTGGTCCATAACTACGGCCTGGCACCGCAGAGTCTGAGTACTAATTGCCCCACTGACAACTTTGTGGCACACAGAGGTTTAACAGACAACAACACACACCCACCCACCCACATGAATCTTTCATTAAACTCCTCATAAAGACTTTACCGAGATATAGTTGAGATGTTTTTAAGTGGACCTGCTTGCCCACTTCATAGTGGGATATCTGTGATTTTATCGGAGTATTAAATGAAACATAAGTATGTGTAATTATGCAGAAAGATGTATCTTTGTATTCCTATCATGTGTACATGTTTTGTTTGGTACCATTTTAATTCTCTCGGTCCAATTGATTTGGTCAGATACAGAAGATTATAGTAAAGTGTATGATTCTATGTGCACCAGCTTTTTGGGATAGGAAGGACCAATTCTGACACTGTGATAAATCGAGCTTCGACAAGACAAAGGGAATTCTGCAGCCAAAAGCTTTGGTGCATGTCATTGGCCAGTTCGCTCCAGAGAGGCTTGGATTTCAGTTCCTTTAAGAGAACTGAACCTCCAATCTCTCTCGCTCTTACTCTCCTACCTCTTACCTCCCTTCGACGCTTCATCATGTGATCCTCTTCGTCCGTCGGGACCTCGTGTTCATGTGATGATCCATCTTTTCTTTGTTTGTTTTCTTCAAGTTTTCTTTTATCTTTTCGAGGTCTCAAAATGAACACAGCTGAACTCGACCGGCAACTGCACCTCAAAGGACATTCAAACTAACGCGCTTCGCCCGCTCTGGGAGACCACGTGAACGCGTGACGCGAGGACAGAGACACACACACACACGCACGCACGCTTTCGTTCTCAGCCACACGAGAAAGAATCATGCAAGTATCGTAATTCCTATCGATCTAAATGCTTTAAGATCTGTTTACCCCATTCAGGGGATTTGCTCTGTCTCTCAAGGTGATGTTTGTGACTTTTGCCATGATCTCTCCAGATCTTCTCTCTCCCATCTCTCTCTCCTTGATCTCTCTCATTTCTCTCTCTCCCTTCTCTCCATGCATTCTCCCTTCGTCGATGTTGTATTGTGTTTGTAAATACTTGTATTCCTTGTAACGCTTAGCAACCGTATACGTAGTGTACTGCCTTATTAAATACATTGTTCATTTTATTGATTCTGTCTCTTGCTCATATAAGTCACTTAAATGTTAAAGATCTTAGCTACTAGCTTGCAAATTAAAGATACCTTAAACAGTATCTTGTTTATGGAAAAGTGAGGTTTTTTCCCGAGGCCTGAGAAATTGCCTTTCTTGTCCTTCTACAAGGATAACTTTCGTGAGGATTGATAGAATACCGTACGGTCAGTTCGCTGGCGAACAGATTATTTGGTAGTTGATTAATTCCATTAGAAGTTATTTATACTAGACAAATTGACAATTGATATGTTAATATTTTAGTCATAACCCGTTTTGATTGAGTACTAATATACAATTGAGCTCATTTTAACCTGTCTGTAAAATATGTGTACATATACAGTTAATGATAATCCTTTGTGGTTAATTGTCTGTGTACATCTCTGAATACAGATGCAGGTAACAGATTATCCCCCTCGTTGGGCGATTTAACATGTATAAGTATCTGGTTCAAACCCGTATGAATAATTATTAATTATGAATTATTAATTATCGAATACATATTCCCCAAAAACGAACCGCATACTCTACAGATATTTTAGAGTGATTTTGTTTTAGAAAATAGTTTTTTAAGGATAGTTTTACATGTTCTTGTTGATATTTTCAAAATAATCTTCTCACAACTTTGATTATCAGGCATTGAATGCCTGTATCCTGGGGGATACATTGCCCATATAAGGGTATTTAACAGGGCTGATCACTCACAGATATTCTTATGTTTTGAGACCTGTTCTCTACAGATATTGAATAGGATAAAGGTTTTGGATGTGCCAGGATGGGCAGACATCCATCATGTGTCAGAAGTGCAAAGTGAGGCTTTGCCTGGTCACTGGACAAAATGCTCGCAACTGTTTTCTCAGCTTCCATTGCCCATAGAATATATCTGGTGTGGGGCACCACAGGGAAGATGGTAGAATTAAAAAAACAAAACAGGAAAAAGGTGTTTTAAAAATCGGCACATGAACTGTTTAAAAAGTTATGGAATGTTAAATGTATATCCTACATAGGCAATGCATCTTGGGAGAAAAAGTTCAGTTTTTTCCAATTTTTCTAATGTTGTATGGATAACATGAAAAAATGTGGCTAATTTATTGTTCATTAAATGTTTTAAAAGTTGTCATAAGAACTATAATACAAAAGAATACATTGCAAAATGTTACCCTAAATGGGCAATGTATCTCGGGAGATACAGAGTGTAACTTAGAAAATAAAGGTCATATTTTGAAAAAAATGCATGAACTGTGTCATTTTAGTCTAGATACATACAAAAATAGCAATGAATCATTTTTCCATCAAATTTATTTATGCTTGCCCCTTTAAGGGTTAAAGTAGGACATTTGAGTTAATCTGGTTTACAGCAGCCTGTGACTGCCAATAATAGTTCCCTTTCGAGGGAACTCGCGATGCGTCATCGACGCTTTGGGAACGCCCCCAGCGTTAATGCGTCTGAGCATCAATGTCAACTAGTCCAATGGAAAGAATGAGCGTCACGGGCGGGTGACGTCATGACCAGGAAGGGATAAAGCACATCCGGTGAAAACCGGCAATAGCTTCTGTGTCTCAGCAAGCGATCTGTGTTACTCTGTCTCTGTCTATTTATTGTTGTCTGTTCGATATTATTGGGAAGAGTTATGGCGAAACAACTTTACAAACTCTGTGCTTCTCCCTGCCCGCGTTATTTAACGGGTGGGGACACACACGAGCTTTGTGTAGTTTGTTTGGGAGTGGAGCATGCGGTGTCAGCCTTCGAGGGGGCTGATTGCCAGCATTGCGAGATGCTTCCTCTCCGCATGCTCTGCTCTCGCCTGACGCTTTTCGAGGAAAGTGGCCAGGCTCGCGATTCTCAGGGTGCAGGAGAATGCATTCCTGTGGATCGCGAATAGGATCTCTTTACGGGGTCGGAGACGGGTCCGCGGATCTTATCTCCTCCCTTTCCACGAGGGATCCAGTGCTCTCTCGCCGGTCTCGGAAGCCCGCGCTGCGGTCTCTTCCGCCCGGGGAGAGAAATCAATGCTTCAGTGCTCTACCTCAGAGGAGGTAGATGTGCTGGGCATTGAAAGTGACACAATCATGGGGGAAGTGGATTTGCCATCTCTTCCCCAGCG